CTCCCCCCCTCCCCCAACCAAAAAAAAATGAGAAAGAAAAAATGAAGCGATAATGTGTGAAAGGAAAAATAGAGAAGTAGGGAGGAAGGAGCGACGCATGTGAAAATAGTAGTAAGCCATGTGAATCTGGATGTAGAAAAGGCAATTTCAAAATTCGCATTGAATATGTCGGTTGAATCTCCCCCTCACCGGTAGGGGCGGAGCTAGGCTCAATAATTTTAGTTTAAACTTTATATTTGTGTAAGTAATTAGTTAAATATATATAAAAAATAAATTTAAAATCTAATGCGCAAGATGATGCAATAATAATTATTAATTTATAAGAAACATGATCCATAAGCTGGCTTTATTCATCAATGGCAGTTGCCAACTCAGGTCAACCCACACTTGAGCCATTATAATTAGTATTTCATTTTTTCTGCAGTACTAACTAACTCTTTTGATATAGCATGTGCAAAACATCTCACTTTCCTTTAATCAAATTCTTTATAAATAAATAAAAAAAAAAATAGAAATGGATAGGTTTTGTTAGGGTACGCATTTTCAACAACATATGCAAGCATACCTATATTACCTAAGTCGGCATCAGTAAAACGGAGCAATTAAAACAATGGTGTAGTACATATGTGCCGTGCTAAAATTCTGTATTTATACTCTAGGGACGTTATTGTCTCTCATAATTGTTTGGTCTTATTTGCTCAATAAATTTCATCACACCTGTGTTGAGTCCAAAGTTGAGATTCTCGTGTTCCAAAGCATTTACCAAGAATATAATGTTCGAATTGGTATAGGTCTATAGACTAAAATCATCTTTTCGTTTTTTGCTAATTCACTAATAAAGTATCTCAGTTTGTATAATTAAGCTATACGAGCCTGCTATGTATATATACGGTTGGGCTTATTAGTTAACAATTAGCTAGAGGAAGATTAGTCTATTCCAAAATTGACTAAGCGCCCATCTTTCTTTAATCATCATATCATATCATACAATATTATAGTGGGAAGCTCTTAAGTAAAAGTTAAATTACCAAAATGCCTACAAAAAATTAGTGGACTTTTATACCCTTAACAAATAAATAAACAAATTATTTCTTATTATACTCGTAGTAGCTAAACTATTGAATAAAAAGCTAAAAATATTTCATAGTAAATAGCCTTTATCGTGATAATGGTGTTTAAATCTCTTCAACCTCTTATCATTATTACGCTCTCGAAAATCATCACCAATTAAAACTATTACAAACAAACCGTGATTGATAATGTATGTCTACTAATAAGGCTTAATTTTCATTAATGTTCAAAAA